GTTAGCAGAGGGCGGGACATACACAGCTATCATAATGACGTGTGTAAACTCTCGCGGTAAATAGTGCGGTCTCATGCTAACCGCTAGCAGCTCAATGTCCTTACAGCCTAGCGTCTCTTTGATAGATAAATGACCAGAGTTACACCATCTATCGCTCACAAACACAGCCAAACCCCCTCCTCTCTTCTTACCACTTTTCTTTTTTATGTCTGCCCGGACCAGATGGAAACCATCTATGTTTATGTGTGAGCCCAGAGTTAGCGTGGTTAGCCACGACTCTGTGAAGCACATCACGCTGCATTCCCTGTAGCTCCTCTAATGTCGGGTTAGAGCCGCCAGTTCATCCATTTTTTGGGGAGCGATCTCACGTTCCCCATAATAACAGATGGAATCGCTGGCCGGTACCTCCTAACCTTACTGCGACGCCCAATCCCGGCCCGAGTGCCGCGTCTCTTCCTCCTCACCTATTGGGGGATGTTGGCTCGCTTGGCGGTAGGCAGAACAGCGGAGGCCCCGAGGGCTAACAGCTGATCCCTGCTGTAAACAATTGGCGGTCGGACCTCCACGCGCTCTCCGGACACAGATGCCGTAAAAAATGTGATAAAAAACACGATTGTCCATAAAATTCTGAGCTTCATTGTGGAGTAGTACAGTCCTCAATAAAAAAAACAAGAACAAGAAATACAATAACAACAAAAAAAGAGAAAAAAGGACTCGGTCAGGTCGGAGCGGCGCCGGAATCCATGGTACCTTCTGTTAGCAAGTTTTTTCCCCCATATGTTAGCTGATTAAAAACATTCTGCTAAGTGGTGCAGTGAGGTCCCATATGAGATACTGGTCACATTAAAAGCTCCTTATTTAACTTTTATTTACCATAGAGATTGTAATGTTTAGCTAGCTGTATATGCTAGGTCTGAAATTTATGTGCTATATATTTCCAATGAACAACCGCCTAAAGTATTATTGATAGCATTATAAATCTACACATGTAGCACAGTAAGCAGATGTGTTCTGCTTACCATTATCTAGAATATTCGGGCTGGTGCACGATTTTGTTGTGTAACTGTAAAACTCATTCCTCAGACTAGGATGTAGGGTAGAAAACGCACACCGAGACACTGTGGTGCAGAGAAATACACAGTGTGAGGCCTCGCAGTTCATTCTTAGAACTCGTGGATTACCGTAAGAGTCTTTATTTAGCTCAGCCAATCCTCATTATGCACACATAGGCACACCAGTTGTATGTCAGTGTGTGTTTGTTTCGGGTTATGGTACCACAACACGGCAGCATGGATTACAACCCGTGATATGGCTAATATGGCAACATAGCTAACATCCATAAACGGATGAGATTATGTATGTAAATTGATATTTATTATGAGCTGGACATCTGAGAAAATGGCTCTTGGTTAGTGCTGTGCTCATGCTGCTAATAGAAATCTAAACTTGTAGCTGTGCCAGTGACATGATAATGTTATATAATCAAATCTCCGCCATTGTGGATCCTGACTCTGTTTGTGTGTGTTTGAAAAAGCTTCAGGACAATCTTTAACAAAACATAGAGTATATTCAAATAAGGGAGGGGGATGATTGGTTGAAATGATAAAAAATGAGAGAAGATTTTCTTTAACATAGACTAAATGACACTAAAGTGGGAAAATGGAGACTAAATCATATCTAAACATGTACAGTGGAAGGACTGATGTCACCCCAACCTTCATTAAAAACATCAGACATCTTTGGAGCAGCTGAAGTGTCGCTGTTACCATCTGGTGAAGCTGTACAGATGGACTGGGGTGTAATTAGTTCAACAAAGATCAAAAGAAGAGCTGTGATCATCACTGTGAACCAGCTAAAACACATTCATGGAGCACATCCACCTGCTGTTTATTTTCATTTTGTCCGGTTCGTTTTGTGCTAAGATCATCAGTTCCATCAGATTATCAGTGAGACATCCTACAACACCACAGACAAAAAGCTGATAATGAAGACGTGTTAGGTGATGAGCAGTGTGTAGAACAGGGTGTGTGAGGTGTAGCAACCAACCACAACAGAAAAGAACAGGATCAGTGATTAGTAATAATCTGTTTACAGCACCCCAAGCATTAAAACCCCCAACCCCCCAACCAGCCTGTTGTCTGGACCCTGAGCAGCTTCATTGCTCAAACTCGTATATCGCTTCTTTTATTGCACACTCATCTGACTCCCTACTGTTCTCTTCCTTCTTGTCATCCCTTTTCTCATCACCTTGCAGACTTGTGGTCTGGTTTAATTTATAGTTTGCTCTCTACCTATTTGAAACAAGCTCAAGGTCTATTGAATACAATGGCCTTCCACTCCCTCCATTATCACAGATGTCTGCCAATATTTGCTGCATTTCTTTCTGTATGGATGCACTCAGTTGTGTCCTTGTTGTTCAGATGCCAATGTCAGCAGGACACAAAACAATGTACAGCTACACTATGCTATGTTTAAGCGAGCAAGAACATATAAAACGAAATGTTCATCTGTTCTACTGCCACAGTGAGCACAACATATACAAAATCTACCAATGGATACATTTCTTCATTTACACTTCATAAATGCCTGTCAGTGCCCTCTCAAAGTGTTACTTCTTCTGTTTCAACTAAACTTTTTGTGCCTACTTTTCAGCCGCATGCTATATCCTTTCTTTATTGGAAAGAAAACAAACTGATGCCAAACTCAATCAAAGCATGAACAAAGGAAAAAAAGAATAAACAAACTGTTCATTATTCATTGCAGATAGGCATGGATGATGCAGAACCGTTCACAGTTCATGTCATCATACCATTATTTTAAGCTTGTGAGCAATGCTGATGCACAGTATATGGACAAAAGTATTGGCCCACACCTCTTAATCTTTGAATTTAGGGCTTTCATTCAAATATATAAAATCAAGTACTGAGTACTTAGCCA